AGTGTCTGTGTGACTTGTGCAGAATGAGGCCACCTGGAGAAGAAAAAAGACCTCATCTTGTCTGTTAATCAAACCTGAGAACAGAGATCCCCAAGGCTGCCGGCACCTGGAAAAGGTATCTTCAGGATGCATTTCTGAGCTCCATTCCATAACTTCTCAGTCGATTCTGGGTTGGGAGCCCTGGAATCAGTATTGAGGAAAAAGCCACCTTGGTGATTTTTTTTTTTTTGAGATATAATTAACATATCATAAAAGTTACTCTTTAAAGTGTACAATTCAGTGGTTTTAGCATATTCACAGAGTTGTACAACCATGACCACTACCTAATTCTAGAATATTTTCAGCACCCTAAAAAGAAGCTCTGTGCTCATTGTCAGTCACTCCCGATGGCCCCTCTCCACTGCCCCTGGCAACCACTAATCTGCTTTCTGTCTCTGGATTTGCCTTTAGACGTGTCATATGAATAGAATTATACAATATATAGCCTTTTATGTCTGACTCTTTTCACTCAGCATAACGTTTTCAAGGTTCATCCATGGGGAAGCGTGTACAGTACTTCATTGCTTTTTATGGCCAAAAATATTCCATTGTACGTACTTACCATATTTTATTTATTCATCAATTGATGAATATTTGGGTTGTTTCCACTTTTTGGCTATTATAAATAATGCTGCTATGAACATGTATGTACAAATATTTCTGTGTATATATGTGAAATGGTATCTCGTGCTTTTGATTTGCATTTCCCTAATGACTAGTGATGTTGAATATCTTTTCATGTTGCTGTTGCCCATTTGTATATCTTTGGAGAAATGTTCATTCAAACCCTTTGCCCATTTTTAATTGAGTTATTTGTCATTTTATTTTTGAATTGTAAGTGTTCTTTGTATATTCTGGATACAAATTCCTTATCGGATATATGATTTGTAAATCTTTTCTCCTGTGGGTTGCCTTTTCATTTTCTTGGTGGTGTCCTTTGAAGCACAAAAGTTTTACATTTTGTTGAAGTTCAGTTTATGTATTTTTCTTTTGCTGATTGTGCTTTTGGTGTCATGTCTTAAGAAACCATTGCCTAATTCAAGGTGATGAAGATTATGTTTTTGTCTAAGAGTTTTGTAGTTTTAGCTTTTACATTTAGATTTTTTATACATTTTGGTTCATTTTTGTAAATGGTGTGATATTTACACCATTTTTTTTGCATATTGATATCCAGTTGTTCCACCACCATTTGTTGAAAAGACTGTTCTTTCCTCCATTGTATTGTCTTGGTAACCTTGCCAAAAGTCAGTTAGCCATAATGTAAGGGTTTATTTCTAAACTCTCAATTCTGCTCCATTGTCTGTCCTTATGCTTGCATCTATTGATTTGATCATGTGATTGTTTTTTATTCTATTGATGTGGTTATTACATTGATTGGTTTTCAGATATTAAACCAACTGTGCATTCCTGGGATAAATCACGTACGTGGTCATGGTGTATACTCTTATTTTTATGTTGCTGGATGTGGCTTGCTAGAATTTTGTTTAGGATTTTTGGGTCTATGTTTATAAGGAATATTGTTGCATAGTTTTCTTTTCTTGTGATATCTTTATCTGGTTTGAGTATCAGGGTAATACTGGCTTCATAAAATGATTTAGGAAGTGTTCTCTTCTTTTTTAGAAGAGTTTGTGTAGGACTGGTGCTAATTCTCCTATAATCATTTGGTTGAATTCACCAGTGAAACCATCTAGACCTGACCTTTTTGTTGCAAATGCTTTGATTGCTAATTCAGTCTCTTGTAGCTCTACACAGATTTTCTATATCTTCTTGAGTCAGTTTCAATAGTTTGTGTCTCTTTAGGAATTTTTCTTTCATCTAACTTATTTAATTTGTTCGCATACAATTGTTTATAGTATTCCTTTATAATAATCCTCTTTATTTCTATATGGTCAGTAGCACTGTTCCCTCTTGCTTTCCTGATTTTGCTGTTCCAGTCTTCTTTCCTTTTTTTTGTTGGTCAGTCTAGCTAGGTTTGTCAATTTTGTTGATCTTTTCTAAGAGCCAACTTTTGGTTTTGTTGATTTTTCTCTATTTTTTTCTCTTCTCTATTTCATTTATTTCTATTCTAATCTTTGCTATATCCTTCCTTCTACTTGCTTTCAGTTTAGTTTACTCTTATTTTCCTAGTTTTTTTAAGATGGAAAGTTAGGTTATTGATTTGAGATCTTAATATGGGCATTTACTGCTATACACGACTCTCTAAGCATGCTTTAGTTGCATCTTATAAGTTGTGATATGTTGTTTGTGGAAAAGAATTAGCATAGCAGGTCTGAACTGCTATTCTTGGGAAGGCTTGATTGCAAGGTTGGCCCTTGGCCTGTGTTTGGGAACTTAGATTTTTGAAGGTTCCTACCATTTCTAGAAGTGATAAGAGTTATGCCTAAACTGTGTAAACAATATGGTTTATGCTGAACGCCTGCTTTCCTTTTTGGAATATGAAATTTGTGTATTGGCCAGACAGGGTATGCCTACATGGCTGGCCCCCAGCAAAAACCCTGGGCTCTGAGTCTCTAATGAAATGTTGGCAACACTTTGCACGTCTTGTCATAATTTGTTGCTGGAGGAATTAAATGCATCCTGTATGACTCCTCGGAAGGACATTTGGAAGCTTGTGACTGATCTCTCCCAATCTTCACTCCTACATCTTTTTCTTTGCTGCTTTTGCTTGGTATCATTTTGATTATGTAATATGCCATAGCCATGAATAGACTATGGGCTGAGTCCCCTGAGTCCTCCTAGTGAATTACCAAACCTGAAGGTGGTCTTGGGGACCCTGACACATATGGTTTTGTTATTATTCATCTCAAAGTATTTTTGAATTTCTCTTCTGACTTTTTCTTTGACCTTTTTACGTTTTTTTTAGGATTGTGTTCCTTAATTTCCACATACTTGTGAATTTCCCAAATTTCCTTTATTATTGATGTCAAGTTTAATTCCATTGTGATTGGCAAACATACTTCAATCTTGTCATTGTATAATTTCAGTCTTTGGCATTTTAATGAGACTTGTATAATGGCCTAACATATGGTCTATCCTGGAGAAGATTCCATGGGCACCTGAAAGGAATGTGTATTCTGCTGTTGTTGGATAGAGTGTTCTGATAGGTCTGGTTGGTTTATAGTGTTGTTTCATTCTTTTATTTCCTTATTGATCTTCTGTCTAGTTGTTCTATCCATTGTTGAAAGTGAGGTATTGAGATCTGCAACTATTATTGTTGAATGTATATTTCTCCCTTCAATTCTGTCAGGTTTTGCTTCATGTATTTTGGGGCTCTGCTATTAAATTTATAATTATGTCTTCTTGATGGATTAACCCTTTTATCATTGTAAAATGTGCCTCTTTGTCTATAGTAACCATTTTTCTCTTAAAGTCTATTTCGTCTGATATTAGTATAGCCACTCCAGCTCTCTTTTGGTTGCTTTTTGCATGGCATATTTTTTCTGTCCTTTTGCTTTCAACCTGTTTATGTCTTTTAACCTAAAGTGTATCTCTTGTAGACAACATAAAGTTGGGTCGTTTTTTTAATTCATTCCACCCATTCTGCCTTTTGATTGGAGTGTTTAACCATTTACATTTAATTTAGTTATTGATAAGGTAGGGTTTACATCTGTCATTTGTCATTTGTTTTCTACATGTCATGCTTTTTTGTTCCTCTCTTCTACCGTTACTGCTTTCTTTGTGTTTAATAAATATTTTTTAGCGTACCATTTTAATTTCCTTATTATTTCATGTGCAATATATTTTTTGACTTGTTTTCTTAATGGTTTTCTGAGAATTACAATTACTGTCTTGACTTATAAAATCTAATTTGGATTAATACCAACTTAATTCCAATTGTACATAAAAGCTTTGCTCCTATGTAGCTTTGTAGCCTTCCCCTTCTTCTGTGCTATTATTGTCATATAAATTAAATCTTTATGCATTATAAGTCCATGAGAACACCTTTATAATGATTGCTTTATGCAGTTGTCTTTTAATTCCAATTGGAGAAAAAAAGTTACAAATGAAAACTACCCTTATACTGTCTTTTGTATGTGTAGTTACCTTTACCAGTACACTTTATTTTTTTCATGTGGATTTGAGTTACTCTCTAGCGTCCTTTCATTTCAAAGCTAAACACTCCCTCTATAGTATTTCTTGTAGAGAAGTTCTGCTAGTGACAAATTCTCTCAATTTTTGTTTATCTCGGAATGTCTTAGTTTCTCCTTCATTTTGGGAGGATAATTTTGTTAGATAAAGGGTTTTGGTTGATACTGTTTCTTTCAGTACTTTCATTATGTCATCCCACTGCTTTCCGGCCTGTATGGTTTCCGATGAGAACTGGCTGTTAATCTTATTGAGAACTGCTTGTGAAGGACAAGTTGCTTCTCTCTTGTTGCTTTCAAGAGTCTCTGTTTGCCTTTGATTTTTGGCAATTTGGCTATACTATGTCTTGGTGCAGATCTCTTTGAGTTGATCCTGCTTGGATTTCATTGAGCTTTTTGGATGTTTAGTTGTATGCCTTTTGTCAAATTTGGAAAGTTTTTGGCCATTATCTCTTTAAATATTCTTTCTATGCCTTTCTCTCTTCTCTCTCTGGAACTCCCATTATGCATGTATTAGTACACCTGATGGTATCCCACAGGTCTCTGAGGCTCTGTTCATTTTCCTTTGATCTTTTTTCTCTCTGCTCTTCAGATTTGATGATTTCTATTAGCATGTCTTCAAATTTACTGATTCCTCTGCCATCTCAGATCTGCTCTTGAGACCATCTAGTGAATTTTTTGTTTTAGTTATTATATTTTCAACTTTAGAATTGTTCTTTGGTTCTTTTTTCACAATTTCTCTTTATTAATATTCCTTGTTTGATGAGACATTGTTCTCATACTTTTCCTTAGGTCTTTGAACATATTTAAAATAACTGATTTAAAGTATTTTCTAGTAAATTCTGCATCTTGGTTTTTTCAGGAACAGTTTCTATTGGTTGCTTCTTTTCCTTGTATGGGTCAAACTTTCTTGTTTCCTTGCATGTCTTATAATATTTTGTTGAATAATAGACATTTTAAATAATATAATTTGGCAACTCTGGAAATCAGATCCTGGCCTACCCCTGTGCTCCCCACAAGATTTGTGGTTGCTCTTTGTTATTGTTGCTCTGTGTTTATTTATTGGCTTGCCTGAACTAATTGTGTATTCTTTGTTGTGTGTGGTCACTGAAGTCTCTGCTCGGTTAGTTTAGTGTTCAGCTAATGACTGGACTGAGGTTCCCTTAAGTGCCTTGAACCAATAAGTCTCCAGCTCTTATGGAGGGGCATATGTGTGCATGTTGGGGCATGCCTTCAATGCTTTGTCAGGCAACTGGCAACCTTGCCTTAGCCTTCATTTCCCTTTTGTGCAGAGCTTTGAGGGTAGCCAGAGATGAGAGTTAGGGCCTTCTCAGGTCCTTCCTGAGTGTGCACACAGCCCTGCTCATGCACACTGCCTTCTAGATTCCTAGGAATATGTTAGAGCTTTTCATAGCCCCCTATGGACATCTCATGCCCCAGTTTCTCCTTTTAAGTTTATTGGTCAGCTTCTTGTTTGCACCAGCTATTATCACTGCTTCAGGTAACTTTGTCTCCAATTGTTTCCTGCAGATACCCTGTGGAAAAAGCTGTTCACAGTGAGAGAACTGAGTCAGGTCAAATAAAGACAAGCCCTGTGAGTAGGGGTTTTCCCCACTAACTGATTCTCCAGGGAACTGCCAGACAGGTCACATAATGACAAATTTCTGGGAATAGAAATTCAGAGTAGCTTTCTGACTTCTGGTATGTCAATAAACTGATATTTATTGGATAATAATAATATAACAATAATACTATATTAATCATTAGTTGTTAACATCAATAATAAAATTACACTATTTATTATTATTATTATTATTACTGCCCAAAATATTTAATATGCCTTACTTCCCAAATGTAAAGTTTATTTGTGGTCATATAAGCATAAGGTTGACTGTTGTGTTTGTCTTTTCAATGTGTGCTCTGAGGACAGGCTGGGGAAACGGATGTTTGCTGCCTCGGCTGAGTCTGCCCCTGCCCAGTCCTGAGGTTGGCTTGGTCTGTGGAGGATTCAGCCCCCAGTGGCTAAGCTAATAGCCACAAATCAAATCAACTCAATCCATAAATGCAGAATTCAAGTAGTAAAAATCAAAAGTTAACTATTGAAATCCCAGGATTTATAAGTGTTTTGTGTTTTAGGAAAGGTCTAAACTTTTCTTCCACGTTGTTAAATTCATGTTCCGCTGTTGGACGTTAAGACTATGATGACGAAACAGTTTATTAATTTGAACTTGTCAGATCTTGGACAGGATTTCAAGTACAGTAAGAGTTTGCTAGTGATGGAATCCAAGAATCTTTTTCTAAAAAAAAAAAAAGTAAAATGAAAATAGTCAAGGTGAAATTTGATGCTTTGTTATTTCTAATATATGCTAAGGAGCCAGATATATTCTAGCTGGTTAATAGAATGTATAGTTGGCCCTTGGTTAAGTTTCAGAAGAATTTTTCTGTTAAGGTGTTATTGAAAACAACAGGTAGAAGTTCCATGGTAGTCGTCACACCTCTGTCGGCACTGTAACTCTCAGAGCTCCTCAAACACAGCCACCATTGTTGTTTCCATGGTTAGTCACTGGTCTGCCCCACTAGAGCCTGTGTTGATGTTACGAAAACAGTTTATGCTACACAGGCTCTTTATTCATGTAATAATTACAACATATTTGTCGAGTGTTTCGCAAGTGTTCTCTTCGGATAATCCTGGCCAGATTAAGTAATAGTTTCTTGCTAACATGATTGCTCAAGAAAATCAAACATGATGGAATGAGATTTGACGTATTATGCGTATGTCTCTGGTTTGTAGTGTCTTTGACCTTTTGCTTTTCTTTTCTCACGTATAAAATCATCTTAGAGTGGGACTATGTCTATTCTCTCTAACGCAAATGCCGGGAACCACTTGAGCAAACTATCTGATTTCAATTCTAATGGGTAGTTTGTATAATGATGAAGAGTAACACATCCGAGCCAGCCACGACGCTGTGCCAGAAACCAGGGACTTCAAAGAGTCTTCTTTGTAGAACCCCAGAGGAACTGAAATTTCTGTTTCTGCATATCATCCAGCTTAATTATTGGCAATAAGTGACTGTTGGCAGGAGGCACGCGTCACGTGGTTCCAGTTCTGCTTCAGAAGAGGTCAGTCTGAGGCACAAACCCTGGCCTGCATTACGCAGCCTCGGGCTCTGATCCCCCGGCGCGTGCTTCAGAACGTGTTACGCAATGTTACGCTCACTGATTAATAGCTGCTTGCAAAAGAAGTTTTTCATTACCCCGAATGCAAGCATCCTGGGAATGATTAACTTTGTGACATAACTCTCATCACACAAATATGGAGGATTCAAACAGACCTTCAAGTAATGTGCTTTAGAAATAACCAAATGTGTTTTGGCTTCTTAATGTCTATGTGATTAACAACTGTTTTAAAGCCACTGAGTGAAACAGAGACAGCTATTGAGATCATTTTTCAGGAGTGGGAGTTTCGTGAGATTGGTTCGTGCATGAACACTCTTCCACCATATTTTAATTTCACCTTTATTTATTCTGATTTGCTGTGACAAACGTCAGCAAACAGTGCTCCATCTTACGAACTGAGTATTGAAGATACAGTTGCTTTTATTAAACACTTTTTGGGCCATGAAGGTATAACTCTCATACTCCCATGCATGATGGAGAGTCACTGTGATGGCTGTTATGGATTTCATATGACTAAAAAATTAAACTATAATTTTACATTTTGTTAAAGGTTTTCGAATCTTATCAGTTGAGTAGCTAGCCTTGGTGGTCTAATGGTTAAGATTCAGCGCTCTCACTGCCACGGCCAGGGTACCTTTCCTGGTCAGGGAACCACACCACCCGTCTGTTGGTTGTCATACCGTGGCAGCCATGTGTGGCTGTGATGCTGAAAACTCTGCCACCAGTGTTTCAAATACCAGCAGGGTCACCCACGGTGGACAGGTTCCAGCGGAGCTTCCAGACTAGACAGACTAGGAAGAGGGACCTGGCCACCCACTTACGAAAAAACTGTGAATGGCAGCAGAGTATTGTCTGATATAGCACCGGAAGGTTAGAGGATGGAAAAACAGACCAGACAGGGTTGGCTAGGAGTTAGAATGGACTCAATGGCACTGATGACAATCGAGTGCAGGCTGAAATGCTGGACGTATTAGGACTCTTTGTTGTGAGTGGCAGGAAGTCAACCACAGTAGCCTAGGCAAAGAGCTTCGTGACTCTTGGCGTGGAGCTCTGGCGGGACAGGGGAGCAGCATCCGTGAAGACCACTGGAGCCGGGGTCTCAGGGCTGCAGGGGTACTCTTCATTCCTACCTCATGTAGTCTCTGATGTGCGGCCGCTGGGCCTGGTTCTATAGACTGGCTTCCCCCAGTGGCAGCTCCCAGCTGCCTTCTTCACTACCAGGGAGGAAGGGAAACTCTCTTCACTCAGCTCCAACTCAAAACCTCCCAAGAGAGGCCTCTGCTGGGACTGGTAATTCACATGTCCTCCCTGTGGCCCACGGGGGACCTCTCCAATGGAACAGGGGCTGCTGTTCTGGCCTGAAAGATCACAGCAGCCACCGAGGGCCAACCTTGACCCAACCAGGAGTCCTTTCCCCACAGTGTCCCCCACTCGCCTTAAAGCATCTCCTCCTTACACATCCACGACTCGCCTTAGAGCATTTCCTCCTTCATATCCACAACTCGCCTTAAAGCGTTTTCTCCTCCACATCCACAACTCACCTTAAAGCATTTCCTCCTCCATATCCACGACTCGCCTTAAAGCATTCACTCCTTACACAACCACAACTCGCCTTAAAGCATTTCCTCCTTCACATCCACAACTTGCCTTAACGCATTCACTCCTTACACAACCACAGCTCCCCTTAAAGCATTCCTACTTGTCCATCCACAGACGCAGATGTCCTGCTAAGAACCACCCCCCCGCCAGAGCTCTGAGCACTTGCCCTCAGCTCTAACTCCATACCTCTAGGTCACGTCCACTGCTCTCAAGGCCAGGTATGGCTCCGAAGAACCAGGTAGCCTGTGGCCTCTGTGCTGTTCAGCCATTTCTGCACACTGTACCCATTGAGGGAGGGAACCCGTTTACCAATGGGGACAAAGCACACGAGCTCTCTAGGCAACATGATATTCCCTGTCATCGGAAGGGACATTACAGGGCCAGGAGGGCCCAGACATCCATTTGTTGAGCCACTTCCTTCACAGTAGATCAAGTGCCTTAGCCAATCTCACCACCCGGTTCCTGCTGATAGGATTTTTCCCTGAAGGATCATTGGCGAGAACTTCGTGGGGGTCTTTACCCCTCGTTGCTTCACCTTTTTTGGTGCCATTGTAGAGGGTCCTGGAGGTTGTCATGGACTAATAAGCCCGTAAATCCGCATCTGGCTTTTCATAGATTTAATGAGGGGAGGCAGTGCATTGTTTAATAACCAATGACAAGATTCTTGTCAAATGACTAGTGTTGAATCTGGATTGGGTGGAATCTAAGGGCTTTGTCTCTTGGTGGTGTGCTTTATGGTTCTGTTCTCTAGACCTCAGCTTAATGGCACCTGCCTTAGAGCAACAGAAAACAGGGGGAGGGGGAGGGGGAGGGCTTATCAATGCTCCAGCATGTGGCCTACCAGCCAGGACCTAAATTAGCCAGCTAGGGGAGGAATGCAATCCATTACCAGGAAAGAGGGTCAGCCAATGGAGGGGGCGCAGTCAGCGTAAGACACCGAGGCCTGTGTGGGAACTCTTGGTGGCAAGTAACACAAACCCAACTTGAACTAAACTGGATAGGAACAGGGAATCCACTGACCAGCTAGTTTCAGGGACAAGTGGACCTGTGATCTCCATCTTCTCTCGTCTCTCCTCTCCCCTGCCAGCCGACTTCTCATGCAGGAGAGGGTGTGCCTCCTGGCCGTGCCCAGCTGGCGTCTTCCCTGCCTTCCCACCACAGAGCAGGTGATCTTACCCCCACTCCGCCTGGAGATACGTGG